CAGCTCTCAGCGCATGCCTGTGGCTGAGCTTACCTGGTCCCGGCAGTACTCGTAAGGATCGGGGTCATAGGAGGAGCCTCGGATACCGATCTGGACCACACGGCTGCAGTCCAGCAGCCCTTCTTCCACGCAGCGCCGGAACGGGGTCCCGTGGTAGATCTTCTCCCCCAGGGCTCTGTCTCCGGTGTCGGTGTGAGCATCCACATGCACCAGTCCCACGGGACCGTGCCTAGTTGAGACAGGGTGGCCATGTTAATCCCCATCCTGTGTGCAATGGCCCTTTTTACACTGTGGACGGCAAACCAGGAGCCTTCCCAAGGCTCCTTCCCAGGTCCTTATTCTATATCTCCAGGTAACTTACTTTTCTGCCACGGCCTGCAGGATGGGGTATGTTATGGTGTGATCTCCACCTGCAACAGGGCAGGGAAGAGGGTGTAACACCCTGCAAGAGGTGCTCAGCGCTCATTACATTTGTTCCCAGGTGATTTTTCCCCCCTTGCATTTATCCTGCACTTGTTTATACACCCCAGGGCTTCATTCCGTAAGGAAAACCTGAGGCTCCCGGGTGTAGGTTGCTTCCTTTCTCCTCTTCCCTCCTCAGAAAAATGGGAGGACCAGAGATGCATGACTTTGCCAGCAGTCTCAGCCCGTGGAGCAGGACCCTTGACTGGGGTTATAAATAGGTGCTTGAGTCACTTCTGAGGACGCTGTAACTGCTAATTTGCCCCACGTTACTATATGCACTCGCTTCATTTAATGATGCCAAGCTGCGACAGCTGGAAAATTGAACACGCGTCCAAATCACACCTCGTGCAACACAGCACACTGCCGGGCGCTCGCTCAAGCTTGAAGCTTTTCAGAGGGACACAAACTGCTCTTGCTGTGGGTCCTGCCCAACAGGACACCAAAAGCACACTGCCGATCGGGTTTGTGGTTGAGCTGCAGGCTGTGCACTGAAACAGTCTCTTGGCTGACCCATTCTCCCCATTTTTGACACAAGAGGCATCACTGATGGCAGTAATTTCAGCAGAGAGCGTGTAAATTTACCCATGATTTACCTATGATTTAGCCCATGATTTAGCACAATATCCCGTGCAGAGGACGGATTCATCGCTCACCTTCTACCGTGTTCAGACTGAATGAGGGCAGGAGGAGGGGGAGTTTGGATGAGCAGGGATGCGGCGGCAGGGCAGGGAGACGCGGGGTCCTTACCCAAGGTGAGGGGCACGCAGCCGGAGGCCACTATCTTCTGGTAGGACTCTCGGATGAGGCGGCAGCTGTCGGGCAGGTTATAGAGGTTCACATCCACGTCCCCGATGTCAGCCACCTGCAGGGAGTCGAAAGGCGCTGCCCCGGTGCTGCCATTGTACCTCCTCACCATCGCCGACTCGGCCCGGATCTGGCGCGGACCGAACCTGGGGAGACAGCACGGCCAGGGAAAGCTGCTGGGCAGTTCCCGACGCCAGCACCGCGCACCCAGCACTCCTCTCGGCAGGAGCAAAGCACCGGCTCCCCTGGCACTGTGGCTAGCCCTTACCTGGCTCCCGGACGGTTGGACGTGCCCGTGTCTAGAGGGACACCGACGAAAGCTGCGTCCAGTCCCTCCGCTGATGCTTGAACGGGCAGTTTCATCATGGAGCAGACCCCCACGGGCCGGGCCACGAACAGGGCACTGGGGGGCACGTTGAACTGCGAGCCCCAGCGGCAAGGGGCCCCATGCCCCGGGGCCGGGTG